TTTTATAAATTTTTTCGCAATAATTCAATTATTTTCAAAAGTAATAAAATTCATCGCAGAAATTCAATTATGTACAAAAGTTTTCAAAAATTCTTGTAAAAATTTCAATTATTGTTATAAATAATAAAGTTTTTCTACAAAAATTCAGTTATTTTCAGAAATTTTAATAAAATTCTTGTGAAAATTTCAATTATTTTCAATAAATTTTCTTAAATCAATGATTTTAAATATCTACTATTTTAATATTTTCCGAAAGAATTAAATTATTTAAACAAATTTTCCTTACAATTCAATTATAAATAAAATTTGATGATAAAATTCTTAATGGGAATTCAATTTTGAGAAACATTCAATTCTTTAATAAAATATTTAATTTTTCTATTTAAATAATTGAATTCTCGTGGAATTTTCTAATAAAAATTGATTTAAAAATTAATTTAAGTTTAAATTAACGTAAATACTGGAGAATTAATTTTTTTGATAAAGTTTAATTGGATTTCTTTTTGAAATTTTTATTTTTTTATATAAATTTAATTGAAGAATTTTTGAATAATCGAAATTTTGTAAAAATTAATATTGAAAATAATTGAATATATTTACGAAGAATTTTATCATTTTTGAAAATAATTGAATTCTTGCGGAGAATTTTATCAATTTTGAAAATAATTGAATTCTTGCGAAGAATTTTGTCAATTTTAAAAATAATTGAATTATTTCGAAGAATTTTATTCAAATCTTTTGAGAATAATTGAATTCCTGCGAATAATTTTATTATCTATAAAAATAATTAAATTCTTGACAAGATTTTTAAGGAAATTTAGAATTAATTTTTCTCAAAAAGTTTAATGGATTTTTTTTTAATTATTTAAAGTTTTTAATTTCTAATTTATTTAATTGAAGAATGTCAGAATAATCGAAAGTTTAGGTAAAATTGAATTGTATAAACAAATGGATTTAAAAATTCTCAAAGAAGAACTTTTTTAAAAATTATTAAAAAAAATTGTTTTAAAAAAGAATTTTAGTTTAAAATTACAGAAATGAAGAATTGAATTGAAATGAAAATAATTTTGAAGAAATTACAGTAACAATATTTTTATAATATAAAATAATGATAGTAGCAAGTTTTAATTATTGTAAAACATGAAGAAAGCGATCATTCCGAGTCCAAGACTCGGAGTGATTGATATCTTCTTGTTTTATAATAATATTCTTCTATGTAATTGAATTTAAATTTTTTGAAAATTTTAATTTCTGTAAAAAAATAATATTCTTTAGGGTCAGGGAAAAAAACAAAATCAGTCAGAAAAAATCTGGAAATCAGGGAAAAGTGAGGGAAAGGCAAAATGAAATTTTTGTGGCAACCCTGATATAAAAAATTAATTTTTTTTGGGGAATACAAGCAAGCTCCTTGAAGTGACGAGTCCTTTTTTCTTTGGTTCGTTTAAAAGAGATGAATATCGAATTAGAAGTAGAATGTATGGTGTCGGCAGAGGGGAATATATAAAGAACGGGCAATTAGTCTCGATTAATTTCTCAAAAAAATAAGAAGGAGCAGCAGGGTGAACGCGTGCAGGCGTCTACGCCTGCGGTAGGTCGAGAAAGTATAGAAGGAATCTTTTTTGGAGTAGTCGAATAATAGGAGGATGGACTAACCACACATGCATCGGATGCGGTATTAAATACGATAACCGTGGCAGTGCAGTTTAATGCCACAGTGCGGCCTACTTAGCGGTGGACTTGATTAACATGAAATGATTAATAGTTTACTCCCCTCTCTCTCTCACTCTCTCTCTCTCTCTCTTCATATATATACTATAACCTCCACCCTGTTTATGTATACCGGCTTCCAAGATCTAATCGCATAATATTTATTGCCCTACGCGACGTCCACCTCAAGCTTCGTCTCTCAATAATTTTTGCATGCTTTTCACTTTTTACTTCCTTTTCTTCTTTTCTCATTCCCCTCCGTTGCATTTTTCTCGCTTGACTGAATTTAAAAATTGCGTCTCACTATTCATATTACTTCTTTAAAAAAGTCCTAAACGTTTCGTATAATACTCTCATGGAATCTTGCATTTTTTTATTACTGTGAATTACTTTTCTAATAATTGTTTATTCAAATTAAAAAAATAGTCGTATTTAGGAGTCACTCCCTATTATATAAAAACATTTTGCAGCCGCTGAATCAGGATTTTTGAAAAAATTCTTCTACAGAATCTATTTTTTTCTATCATATTTCTTCATGTTTTCTAATTCTTGAGTGAAAAAGTATAATATTTCCTTCGTATTCACTATTAGTAGTTGATAAATAACAATTAGTGTTATTGGGTGTAAAGAAACATGTTTAAAATTTATAGACATTAGCATTTTTAAGAATCACGATTCTTGGAAAGTAAAATTGTCCTTTCGAGTGAGAATGCAATTTGCAAATATTCCCATTGAGAATTATTTTCCAATTCAACGTAAAGGAAATATTTTTCAACGAGCAATAATTATTTAACACTACATTGAAAAAAATAGAAAGTTTTTTGAAATTTTAGTTTTAAAAATATTGCATAATAACAAAACGGTTTAATTTATTCTCTAGATTGTGAATATTTATGTTGTATAGTTACAATGCTCTGAAATAAAATTAATTTGATTTAAATAAAGAATTAATTTTCTATTATTAAACAAATATTTTAGAAATATAAATGAGGCCTGTTTTTGAATAGAATACAATTAATTTTACAATTTATTTTATTGAAATTAAACTTGACGACCAAAAAAAACTTGTTTTAGACACTTCGCAAAACTGACAAAAATTTCATTCTATATTTAATTTTCCTGACTTTTTTCTAATTTTCATCAAAAATATTTACTTCTTTCTTATCCTACTAATAAATTGAATTCTGGCAACGAATATTATTATTCATGAAAAAATATAAATATTTATCAAAATAATTTAATTCTTGCGAAGAATTTTACAAACATTTTTTAATAATTGATTTCTTTCGACAAAATTTTAAGCAAATTTTAATTAATTTAAATAATTGAATTCCTGAGAAATTTCTATTATTCATGAAAAAAATTAAATTCTTACGAAGATTTTTAGGAAAAATTTTGGAAATTTTATGAAAATAGTAGATATTGAAAATCATTGAATTACGAAAATGTTTTAAAAATAATTAAATTTTAACAAAAAAGACACAAAAATTCAGAATTTTCTTATGAATTATAAAAATATAATTTTTTCCATTACTTACAATGAAAATACCTGACTTTTTCCTAAATTCCCTGACCTGCATCAATCCTGATTATATACAAAAAAACAAAATCTATAAATCTATCGATTAATCAAGACCCGGGAAAATTTAATCAAAATTTTACGATCTTGTTATTCAGATTCTTTAAATTCTTTTTTTTCGGGAAATTATTTTTCCCTTTCATTCCAACGATTGCAATTCCATTATAACGTTGCGATACTATCTAATTTCCCAACTACAGATTTTTATTCTTTGACAAAAAAGATTGTACGTAATTATAATAAACGATCAATTCAATTTTCTCAGAGTTTGAAAATCGATAAAGTTCGCTCCATTTTGTGGAGAATTGGTCGAATATAAAGAGGGGAAACTTGAGAAAAATATGCTAATAAATATAGAAATATTTCTCTTATCGAGAACAGAAATTAACTTCAATACTTTCCCATATGTAATGAGAATGTAAAAAAAGTAAAAAAAAAATTATTTTCTCGTTTTCGCTATAAATATTAAGGGGAAAAAATAATAACAATAATATTGTGGGAAAAAATCGTTCGATAATGAAGAATGTAAATATAAATTTACAAAAAATAAATGTAAGTGACTTAACGAAGCAAAAAAAAAAAAAAAAAAAAAAGTCAAGAGGCAATGGCTCGGTAAAGACAAATTTCCAAGAGACTTACTATCGCGGCGAAGGTATCGCGTTACCGTCAATTACAATATTTGATTTATATCGACATGGAAGGTAAGAATGATCTTCGAGGCCCAATTCGATTGTATCTCGGTCGCATCACACGTGTAAATATAATTGCACATCGAGTACTTATTGGCCAAGGTTCAATATTTTCAAAAAGAAAAGAAAAAAATAATGTCATTTAATTAATCTGACAATGGAAAAAATATTATTTTCTTTTCAAAACAGAAAATATTGTGAATATAATTTTCAGCAAAGCATTTTTTTCGTATTCAAATTTTGTTATAAAATAACTAGCAAACTTAACAATTTTCTTTAATTTTTCCGAGGACTTCAAGTACTTTTAAACATTTGTAAATTCTTCGCAAGAGTTCAATTATTTTTATTACAAAAGTTATAAAATTTTTTGTAACCAAAAATTTATTTTTTCTTTGAAAAAAAATCCACTTAATTATTTTTTGTTATTATTTAATCTTTTAAAAATTAAATTATAATTTCCTTAAGTTTAATAAATTCGAAACATAAATGGAAAAATTATCAAAAAAATATGGAAATAAAAAGCAAGAAAAAACTAATTTTAAACTGAGAACAAAAATCCAGAATATACGATTATTATAATACAGATTTTTATAAACCAATTCATTTATAATTATAATTATCGTTCAGGAATTTTTTGATTTTTTTTAAATTTTGAGATGTTGAGTTTTTCATTTATTTCATAATATTTTACAAGCGAAAAAAATCTGCGTCTAAAATCACCACACCAGAATAATTATATATTTATTATTACCAAAGTACTTTAGGATAATTTTCTTTGAACATAATTTTCGACGATTTTAAATATTAACAAAATTAAGAGTTAAACTACAACTTATATAAAACAGTTAAACTACTACTAATAAACAGTTTAACTACCACAACTAAATATTAATAATTGCGTTCAAAAAAAGTAATTTATATTAAATAGGAGAAAAGCGATGTTAGAAACACAAAAGAGCTTATCAAATATCAACTAACAGAAACGTAGGGTATTCTCCTCAAAAAATAACTGCACACTCCTTGAATTTTTATTTTTCAATACGAATTACTTTTATTAATATTTTTTTTTTTTTGCTTAAGCACAAGTGTACTTCATATATAAAGGTAAAGAATAATAAGCGAAGAGAGTGCGTAAGTAAAGGTAACACGTTATCGGAAACATGTCACTAAAAAAACCCCCCCTCGAAGGAAAGTAAAATTCACTCAACATTTATAAACTTCACGCTTTCTTAATTGTCACTTATCGATTACAAATATTTTTTTATGCAATTTTTCAAAACGACTATTTGGAAAAACATCATCATCATCGTCATCTCAAAAAGTAAACGCCAAAATAAGAAAAGTGTGTAAAATAAATTCATCGCATTTTATAAAATTGGTAATATTGTATATAATTACAATAAATACAACTTCCAATTTGCTAATTTAGGAGGATTTTCTTTATCGATATACATGATGACACAATGTTTAATTCAAGAATATAGTTATTTTCTATAGTAGCCAAACTAGAAATTCACATTTACTTGATTTCCATAAAGTTTTCGAATATTTAAATGAGAAAACCGTTCAAATTAATAAGTTTGAATTTTTCTTCCATTAAAATTTATTTTAACATAACATTTTTTTTATTAAAATTAATAAATTCCCCAAAAACACGAAATATCACGGAACATTACTCGAATATTCCACTGAAGGATTGGAAAATTTCAGAGAAATATTCCACCCACATTTTAAGAAATATTACACTGAAAAAAATTATCTGACTCATATAATCAATTACTTGTCCATTATCAAATAAATATTTACTTGAGTAAAATCATTTTTCGTTGACTTCAATACTTGATTAAATATAATTTTTATTCAAATCAAATAGATTGTATTTGAATCAATAATTTCAGTACTTGGTTCAAATAAAATTGAATTCAAATAAAAATTATTTGATGCAGGTAAATATTTATTTGAAAATAGACAAGTAATCGTTTAGTTCATTCAAATAAATCTTTTTTTCATTGTAAAATATCTGTCATTTGGAATGTTCCTTAGGAAAGTTGCAGGAAAATCCACTCAAAATTTTGTGGAAATATTCCATTGGAATTTTGTAAAAATATTTTTTTTTTTAGTATTATTGATCATGTTTTAATCAATTATAAAACCATTTAAATAAATTAATCGATTTTTTTTAAACGGGAAAATTTGTAAACTTAAGGAGTAATATTCTTATGGAATATCCCTATAATATTCCACTTAGATATTCCCACAATATTCCAATATAATATTTTTAAGTTATTTCAAAGAAATATTCCAAATTTGAAAACTAATATTTCAATGTATTATTTCCTGCAATATTCCAATGGAATATTCCTATATTATTCTAAAGGAATATTCCTGAATTATTCCAAAGAAATATGGCAAAAGTCGGATATTTTAACATTCCTAAAATGTAGATGGAATATTTCCAATGTTTTAATAAAATATTCTAAGAAAGTGATTGGAATATTGCGTGCTGTTAATTATTTATTAATAAAATATTGAAATAATTGATATTATAAAACTGTATCAAAATGAATAATATAGTAAATTTAATATTTATTTAGCTAAGAGACAACTAAGAGCTCGGAATATTTCATAATCCTCATTTTTGGACTATTAAAATATCCGACCTTTGGAATGTTCTTTTGGAAAAATGTAGGAATATTTCATGAAAATATTGTAGGAATATTCCATTGGAATTTTGCAAAAATATTTTATTATTTTTATTAGTATTATTGATAATAATTTACTAATCAAAATTCGCACCATTTAAATAAATTCATCAATTTATTTTGTACTGACAAAGTTGTTATTTTGAAAAAGAAATATTCCATTAGAGTATTTCCCATAATATTCGAGTGAAATATTTCTATATTATTCCAATGAAATATTCCTATTTTATTCAAATGAAATATTTCTATTTTATTCAAATAGAATATTTCTAAATTATACCAAAGAAACTTTCAAAGGTCAGACAATTTTTTATTTCCAAAATGTAAATGGAATATTCCAAAGGAATATTTCGAAGGTTCCAATGAAATATTCCTTCTTTTGGGAGGACTGAAATAGAGTTTCACTGTAACTGTAGAATTTGTAAATTTAAAGTGTAATATTCCTATGGAATATTCCTCTAATATTCCACTTGAATATTTCTATTATATTCCAAAGGTAGGATATTTTAATATCCCTGAAAGATGGATGAAATATTCCAGAGAGTGTGAATGGAATATTTAAATATTTGAATGGAATATTTCAATATTACTCGAGAGGAGCATTCAAAGGTCTCTTGGACATTTTAATATTCCTGAAAGTTGTATGAAATATTCCAGGAATTCGAATGAAATATTTCTCACTATTAGGGCAATATAAAAGAATAAAATTCCAACTCTATGTAAAAATAAAAAATCGAATTAGGAAGCAAGAAAAATTCTCGCTCATTTGAAAATTCCAAAACTTGATGAAACATTTCACTATTAGTTGAAAAGAAAAAGTAAAAACTATTTCTGCGACATTTTTTCATAAACATAGAACGTACATTAAAGAACTATTATGACGTCCAGTCAAAAAATTCTATTATTTATATAACCCATAGTTAAAAAGGAAAAAAAAAATTCTTAAATACTTATTTAATAGAGAAATTAACTTTAACTGTCGATTCACAATTATTATTTTTGTGTGTGTTAACAGACCCTACTATACATTTTTATTTGAATTTACAATATTCCATTGTACATCGTGTGTCAAAAAAGTCCTAAAAAAAAAAAAAAATGATGTCACAATAACGTCAATATTTAGGTCTTAATTAAGAGACTCTCCTTGCTTTTCCAGGTGGTGCGGTTGTTAAATTCTCCTCGAATGTGTCGACAGTAAAATCTTGATCTTTAATGTTTTTCGTTATCGCCGTGGCAGCAGCGGCAGCGGCACGAATTTTACGCTTACGTGAATTCTGCAGTGAATTTCGCTTTCCTGCTATGTGCTGAGCGGCTAGAGGAAGTCTCGGTGGTGGCATTTTGGCGGGAGGTAACCTTGGCAAAGGTCCCATTGGCAATCGTGGTGGACCAGACATTCTTGGTGGCATTGGCATTCTTGGCGGTAATGGCATGCGAGGTGGACCTCGTGGATGTGGTGCCGGAGCGCCCATTGGTGGCATTGGCGGCATTGGACTTCTCATGCCCATTCTTGGGCCCAGTCGTGGACCAAATCGGGCGCCATGAGGTGGTGGTGGTGGAGGTGGGCCGCCCAATCGTGGTCCATAGCCTGGCTGAGGTGGTGCGGGGAAATTGAATCCACGTGGTGGACCACCGCCTCGTGGAAATGGTCCACCATTGGCGAAACCACGGCGTGGCGGTGGTGGTGGATGGAAACCGGGGCCTGGTGGACCCATTAGATAGGGTGGCGGTGGTGGGGGTGGTCGACCACCTGGGTGATTCAGAGGAGGTCTTCGTTTTACTGGCACCTTTCTCGCACGGGTATTATTGCTGCTGGGCAATGTTAGATTCACTTTGCTCGTGTCAATTTTACGACCGCATGGCGCTTTCCTCAATTCACTTACATAATTCTGACGTTCAATCGGATATCCCCGGGCTTCTTGAAACGCTAAAAGGAAATTTTATTCTCCGTCAACATTTCTATCTTTGCAAACAGTTCGACGTTTAAAAGAAAAATGGTTTAAAAGTAGAAAATAGTTGCAAAAATGGAATTAATACTAAACAATTTTAATACTAAAATTAAATTAACAAATTAAATAAAAATTAAATTAACAATTCAAATAGAAAATTAAAAATTTCAATTCAAAACTTCTACTTGCAATTAAAATATACAATTTCAATTCAAAACTTACAAATGACACTTAAATTTACAATTTCAGTTCAAAACTTACAAAGGAAAATTAAATTTACAATTTCAATTCAAAAATTACAATTACAAATTAAATTTACAATTTCAATTCAAAAATTACAATTACAAATTAAATTTACAATTTCAAGTCAAAAATTACAATTACAAATTAAATTTACAATTTCAATTCAAAAATTACAATTACAAATTAAATTTACAATTCATTAAAATAGCAATTCAAATTTACAATTCGAAACTTAGGTAAAATTGCAAATTAAATTTACAATTTAAATTGTAAATTACAATTTCAATTCAAAACTTACAATTGAAAATTATAATTACAAGTAAAATTTATAATTTTAATTCAACTTTACAATAAAAATTGTAAATTTCAAATATAATTTACAATTCCAAACTCACAATTGCAAATTACAATTTCAATTCGAAACTTAAAAATGAAAATTAAATTTACAATTTCAATTCAAAACTTACAAAAGAAAATTAAATTTACAATTTCAATTCAAAAATTAGAATTACAAATTAAATTTACAATTCATTAAAATTGAAATTCAAATTTACAATTCGAAACTTAGGCAAAATTGCAAATTAAATTTACAATTTAAATTGTGAAATAACAATTTCAATTCAAAACTTACAATTGAAAATTATAATTACAAGTAAAATTTACAATTTTAATTCAAGTTTACAATAAAAATTGTAAATTTCAATTAAAATTTACAATTCCAAATTATAATTTCAATTCGAAACTTAAAAATGAAAATTAAATTTACGATTTCAATTAAAAAATTACAATTGAAATTATAAATTGTATTTGTAATCGTTACACTATTATTTTTCCTATATCTTTAAATTTTAATTCAAATGTATAATTGCAATTCAAATTTACAATTGAAATTGTTGATTATAAGTAAAATTTACAATTTAAATTTTAATTCTAAATTTCAATTCTTTCTAATAGCAATTCAAAGTAACAATTTCAATTTAAAACTTATAATTTCAATGTAAATATACAATCTCAATTCAAAACTTACAATTGCAAATTAAATTTACAATTTCAATTCATTAAATAATTTACAATTCAAATTTTTACATATTCATTTGAAATTTACAATTTCAATTCTAAAATTATAATTGCAATTTAAATATATAATTTCAATTTAAAACATTCGCTTGCAAATTAAGTTTTCAATTAAAATTCTAAATTAATAATTTCAATTATAAATGTTAATTGAATTTATAAAATTGAATTAAAATTGTAATTTTGGTTGCAATTATAAATTCTAATTGTAAATTTTAATTGCTACTGTAAATTTTAATTCTAATTATAAATTTAAATTGAAAGTGTAAATTGAATTGTACTTGCAAATACGAATTGAAATTGAAAATTATATTTATAATTTTACACTAATAAATTTTTATTATATGTGTAAATTTTAATCCAAATTTTATAATTTCAATTCAAATTTAGAATTGAAAATGAACTTGTAAATTACAATTTTGATTTACAATTTCCATTCGTTGTAATTGAAATGCAGAATTATAATTTTCAATTAAAACTTATAATTGAATTTTAAATAAACAATTCCATTTCAAAACTTACAATTGTAAATCACGTTTACAATTACAATTCAAAACTGAACAGTTGCAAATTAAATTTACAATTAAAATAATAAATTACAATTTAAATTTACAATTCCAATTTATATTTACAATTGAAACTGTAAATTACTATCAAAATTTACAATTTGAAATACAAATTTAAATTAAAATTATGAATTTAAACTGTAATTAAAATTTTTTTGTAATTGAAATTGTAAATTATGTTTGTAATTTTCAAATTATTCTTTAATTAATATATTTGCAAATTTGAATCGAAATTAACAATTTCAATTTATATTTATAATTGCAATATAAATTTAGTATTTAAATTTTTATAATTGTTAATAAAATTAACAATTCAAATTTACAATTTGCAAATTTGAATTGAAATTGTAAATTTCAATTGTAATTGCAAATTTGAATTGAAATTGCAAATTGGAATTTAAATTGTAAATTTCAATTGTAATTGCAAATTTGAATTGAAATTTGTGAATTTCATTTATAATTTAGAATTGTAAATGTAAATTTAAATTGAAGTTTACAATTTTTATCAAAGTTTACATGTTTTTTTTTAAATTTACAATTTTTATTGTAAACTTGAATTGAAATTGTAATTGTAATTTTCAATTTTAATTGTAAATTAAAATTGCAATATTATTAATTTGAATTGAAAATGTGAATTTAATAACTTTTTGAAAATAATTATTGGCTATTTACTCCATTGCATTTAGAGTATGTCAAGTTCGGGATAGTTCGATAAATTGATATGCAAAAAATATTGTGGGATAGTCACCTTGCAAAGCGTGTGTCAGTTTCCAACCGAGTTGTTGTACAAGATATCTGCAAAAAAAATGGACAAATTGGGGTCAAAGCGGCAAATGGAATCGATTAAACTTTAATGCAGATAAAATAATGTAAACTGAATATTTCTGAATATTTTGACAAGTCAATTCGCAAATTTTCATTCTGTCAATTTGCAATTCCATGAAAATTTAAATCTCCAAAATTATTTAATTTTTAAATTAAATTAAAATTTAAATAATTATTTTTTGATTAAATAATAATAATAAATTAAAATATAAGTAATAAATAAGTACCTTTGCAGAGTGCAAAAAAGTACAATATAAATTGGAAATTAAATTAAAATTAATTAAAAGAAATGCAAATTAAATTAAAAATAATTTTATTTTTACTACTTACCTATTATTATATTGAACTAATAATCAATAAACAAAAAAGTAAAAGACCAACAAGACTTACCGACAAATAAAGTAACCCGTTCTATTTACTCCATGAGTACAATGCACGCCTATCATTTCATCTGAAATCAAAACAAAATTTACATGAATACCATTGATTCGGAATAAAATAATTTTTATTTCCTTTCATTCTTTTAATATTTAGAAAATATTAAAAATTTAAAATATTTAAATTTAAATATTTGGTATCTGTTGGAAATTAGTAAAGTCTGTACTTTGAAAGCGTACCGTATACTTACTTAGGTTATAAAGTTCAAGTTGTTTTATTGCAGCAAAGTACGTGAAGGGTCAGTTTATAGCAAGGCTACTAAAAACAGGTCGCAGATGTTGTGTGATAGTCGTCAAAAGTAATTTATTCATTGTCAGGAAAATTCAAGAGGTGGGTGCAAGTAGAACAAATCTTCAGTCTTCAGTTTAGTATACGGTACATTTTTTTAGATACCAAATAAAGTTCTCAAAAAATTCGCAGAGCATCATTCCTTTGTTTTTTCGTTTCATTCACATTCATTTTTTGATAATTCATCATAAATCACTATAATTCACTCTCGTCCATTCGTGTCAAACACACTTTTCACTCTTCTTTCATCTTCAATTTTCTTCGAAAAGAGACATTTTTCCATCTTCAATTTTCTTTAAAAAAGAAATTCTTCCATCTTCAATTTTCTTCAAAAAAAAAATTCTTACATCTTCAGTTTTATTAAAAAAAAATCAGAGTTTCGACACAAAAATTTTATTTTATTTTCCCTGCCTTTTCCTTAATTATCAGAAAAAATTTTGACTTTTTCTCTGACACTAAAGAATATTTTATATCACTTTAACAATTTCAAATTCAACCTTTTGAAATTCAAAAATGAATATAGTTACTGGAGCTTTTTAAAAATTATTTTCATCATTTCAAATCCATTATTATACTCTATTAGAAAATAAAACCTTTAAATAATTTTTAAAAAAATTCAATTAAACTTTAAAAAAAACTTATTTCTACAGAATTGTTAGTTAAAAGTATAAAAAATTCAGATTTTCAAAAATTTTTATTTAAAACCTTTTCAAAAATCAATAATGTATTTCTTCCTAAAATTTAATTCTCATAATAATTTTATCATCACATTTTTAAATAATTGAATTCTTTTGACAAATTTTAATAAAATTTTTAATACATTTTTATTATTTCAATTTAATTATTTTTTCTGGAACTATAAATAAAATTCTTCTTTAATTCAATTATTTTTAATAATTTTTGAAAAAATTCTTTGAAAATTTTCAAATCCATTTTTTTTAGAATTCAATTTTACGAAATTTCGATTATTCGCAAATGCGATTATCTGAAATTCTAACTAAACTCCATTTTTCAATCAATTTTTATTAGAAAATTCTAGGAGAATTCAATTACTTAAATACAAAAATTAAATATTTTATTATAGAATTGAATGTTTTTTAGAATTTAATTCAACATAAAGAATTTTATCAACAAATTTTTAAATAATTGAATTCTTTTGACGAATTTTAATAAAAAATTTATTTAATTAAATTTGTCGAGGAATTCAACTAAAATTGTAAGAAAAATAATTGAAATTCAGCGATGAATTTTATTTATAAAAATAATTGAATCTCTGTAAAAAATTATATTATTTAGGAATTTTTTAAATTTTTATTGCGAAGAAATTTATAAAAAATTTGTAAATAATTAAATTCCTGTGAAATTTTTGTAATTTATAAAAATAGATAATTGAATGTTTGCCTTTGAATTTTATTCAAATTTTTTTTAAATAATTGAATTCTTTTTGGAAATTTTATTAAAATATTAGACATTAAAAATCATTGAATATTAAGGAAAATTTTTGACATTTTGCCAAGAAATTTATTAAAATTTTCGAAAATAATTGAATTTCGAAGAAGAATTTTATTATTTATGATAATAATTTAATTATTGCGAAGAAAGTAATAAAAAATTTGTAAATAATTGAATTCTTCTGAAATTTTTATTATTTATGAAAATAATTAAATATTTATGTAGAATTTTATTATCATTTTTTTAAATAATTGAATTCTAATGGAAAATTTTAGTAAAATACTAGATATTGAAAATCATTGAATTAAGGAAAATTGTTGAAAATGATTGAAATTTTACCAAGAATATTATTAAAATTTTTGAAAAAACCGCTGCCAAGTTGTATTTTTTTTATAATTTTGGTGGTCATTTCATGAACACTTTACTTCCTCATAGAGATAAAAATAATAGAAATATATGAATAACTTTTTATAAATATGGTAAAAGTGATTGAATTTTGGGTCAATCAATGTATTTTTAAATATCCTACAAAATAGTTACAATAATTTAATAGTTAAATAAAAATTTTCAAACAAAAAAGTTGAGAAAATGGCATTTTTCACAATTTTTGGTTTTTAAAATACCAATAATTTCGAAATTTATTATCGAATTAGGTTCAAAAATAGGTCAATCGAAGCGTTTTTTAATGCTCTACAAGTTGATAACGATAATTTTAAAATTACTTCTACTTTTTTCAACAAAATTTTCAAAAAAGTCTTATTTTCCAAAATTTTTGATTTTTAAAAGTTTAATAACTCCGGTTAATATGGACGAAAAATGTTCAATTAGGGCTCAATAGATGCGTCTAAAAAAACTCTACAAAATTATGGAAAAACATTTATAGGTGTCCTAACATTTTTTTAAAGTTATGGGCAAAAAACGTTTTTTTGAAAAATTAAAAATCCAAAAAAAATTTAGTTAAACTTTATTAATATATTAGAAAGTACTCTCATTTTATGTCCGCAGGTGAGATCTACAATTTAAAAAAAAATTCAACCCAAAAGCTCTTCATGATTTCGAGATATTTATAAAAATGTGATGTTTACACACACACACACACACACACATACGGAATGACATTTTTTAAAAATGTCATTTTTGAACTCCTGAGGTCAAATAACATAAAGATATGTCAAAAAATCGAACTCGAAAAATTTCGGTATTACAATACTTCCTCTATGAGGAAGTAATAATTTAATTTCTCAGAAGAATTTCATTATTTATAAAAATAATTGAAATTTTAAGGATTTTAAAAAAATGTTTAAACAGAACTAATATAAATTTCTGCGAATAATTTTTTTTTTTACTTTTGAAAATAATTGAATTTCTGAAATCATTTGTAAGTTTTCCAAAATTTAATTTTTTTTCGTGTTTTAAACTAAAATTCTTCAATAATTCAATCGTATTTAATAATAATTAATTAAATATATTGAAATATATTGAAAAATGTAACTGATTTTAGAAGATTTTGAATTATTAAAATTTTTTAAAAATCTAAGTTTATTAAAAATTCTAATTAAATTCACTAAAAATTGAAATTTTCTACAAAAATGCAGAATTTTCTTATGAAATCCAAAAGTTTAATTTTTTCCCACTACTTTTAATAAAAATCGCTGACTTTTCCTCCCTAACTTGCGACAACCCTAAAAATTCTTTTATCTTCAATTTTCTTCAAAAAAAAAAAAAAAAAATTGTTCTAATTTTTTGAAACATCAAAAAATACTCTTCTAAACTCTTGAATTCTTCAGAAAATCACTCTTTCAAACCCTTGAGTACTTCTTCTTAATCTGTTAAATTTAAAACATTTTAAAACTTTGCTTTTCAATCAACAAGAAATTTATTTATTGTTGGATTTAAAGAAGAAAATTTTTGAGAATTTGTGGATTGTAAGAATTGATCATAGAAATATAAAAATAGAGAAAGTGAGACTGTAGAAATTGGTGAAAGTATCAGGAGGATAAAAAGAAACAGGTAGTGTACCTAACGTCCCCCTGCTTTCTCTCTCTAGAGGCGCACGCGCAGGAACGACTGTCTCTGCGGAAACGCATGCGCAGGAACGACTGTTTCTGCGGAAACGCATGCGCAGGAACGACTGTTTCTGCGGAAACGCATGCGCAGGAACGACTGTTTCCGCGGAAACGCATGCGCACGAACGTCTGTTTCCACTAAAACCCATCAGCGCGCATGCGTAAAGAAACTAAGACAAAAAAGGGGACGTTAGGCAAAATTTTTTTCATCGCCTTTTCTTTCTGACACCTTTTCAGGACCCTCACACGTCCTCTACTCTTAATATTTCCATGAAATTAATTCAAAAAACAGAAATACTTGCAGGAATACCATCAAACAATCAATTTCATCCAATTTTCACTTCATTTTCTCCACACAAACACAAATGCAGTTTTTTTTCCATCAAACACACATTCACTTCCTATATTATTATTAATTTAACAACACACGTTGAGGTTGCCCTCGTTTATTCGTACGGAAGGCACGTCAGCCCATTTCTGGTTGACTATCTTTTTTCCCCGAGGTCATCTCGTTACCACTTTGCATGTTGAGTAACTTATATATCTCGTGGAAGATGTCCGTGCAAAGTTATTCTGGGAACTCGTCGGCATCTAATGTGAATCTGGAGCGTGCTCCCCGTCGTGTAGCGGCTGGTAACAGCAACAAATGAGCCGATCTTCAGAGAGATTACCCCTTGAAACTACAATCTTTATACCCACTACAAGTATTGATTTCTACTTTTTCTTTTCTGGGGTTTCAAAAAAAAAGAAAATTTTTTTTTAATCATATTCAACCCCTTTTTAAACGCAGTCAAAAAACGGAGTTTATCATCGCGCCAATATAGACAAACAGTAAAAAATTATTCAAGAAGATAATTTTTTATCCAATTATTAAAAATATAAGAAAACGTCCCGAAATAACAACGTTCGAAAAAAAATCTCTTACAGTAAACAATAATATTAAAAAAAATTTAAATAATAATAAAAATATCGGGTGAAAATGTAATAAAACGTGTGTCGTTGTCTTATGTTTTGCTTGGTCTAATAAAAAATTTTCTCCAAGCCTAAACATAAAAAAATAACATATAATTTCTGAAAATCCAAATTTCCTCGCAAATTTCAAAGCTTCGTATGAAATTTGTGCGTAGAATCAAAAAAAAAAAAAAAAAAAAGAAAAATATTTATAACAGGGAGTGAGGGAGGATCGAACAGCTCCTGATGCACGAGAGCCGGACTTTGCTAGTAGCGAACGTAAACTGCGGTGAAAATATTTAAAAGCCGCTGAAACGGAGGATGTTAAAGTCTGGGCGTACGTTGGGTACATAAAATTGAAAATATCGCTAACCGAGAGAGAGGAGCGTAAGGATTTCAAGGGACCGATTACTTTACAGCCCTAAATCAATCGAACGATCCAAGTTCCCACTTTACATACTTCAACTCTCAAACTTTAAAAAAATCAATGGCTTCCTGAATTCCATTTCAAAAAAAAAGAAAAAACAGTCTAAGTTTATACTTTTTTCTATATACATATAAAGAAGAAAAAAAGCAATAAATTAAAAGCTAAATTTCATTAAATTCCATCAGTGATAAAATAGATAAAATAAATTTTTTTTAAAAACTCACTTTCTCCACAAACTGCGGTGAAATCGTCCATTGCTTTGAAGAATCTGAAACAAACATATAAACCGCATATAAAATATATATTTCACTTTATACTTAAATTATTAAACCAATTCTATTTATTTAATAACATATTGATATCAATTAAAAAAATAAATAATTTATTGAATCATTGAATCTTTCTCAGAATTGAATTTTCCTAAAGAATTTTATCAACAAATTTACAAATTTATGAAAGTTTTATTCTTTATGAAAATAATTAAATTCCAAAAATAAATTTTAATATTTATGAAAATAATTGAATTCTGTAAAAAATTTTATTATTTATAAAAAATAATGGAATTCTTGTGAAGAAATTTATAATCAATTTGAATAATTGAATCTTTTTCAAAATTGAATTTTCATAAAGAATTTTATCAAAAAATTTACAAATTTATGAAAGTTTTAATCTTTATGAAAATAATTAAATTCCCAAACTAAATTTTAATATTTATGAAAATAATTGAATTCTGTAAAAAATTTTATTATTTATAAAACTAATGGAATTCTTGTGAAGAAATTTATAATAAATTTGTAAATAATAGAATTAATGTGAAATTTTTATTATTTACAAAAATAATTAAATGTTTGCGTTGAATTTTATCTAAATTTTTTTAAATAATTAAATTCTTTAAGGAAAATTTTATAAACATAGTAAATATTGAAAATCGTAGAATTGAGGAAAATGTTTAATAATAATTGAAATTTCCCCAATTATTTTATTAAAATTGTTGAAAATAATTTAATTGCTCAGTAGAATTTTATTAATTACAAAGATAATTTAAATATTGCCCAGAATTTATAAAATTTTTGAACGTAATTAAATTTTTGCCAAGAATTTTATGAAAAGTTTTGAAAATAATTGAAATTCTGATAAAAATTTTATTAATGAAAATAATTGAATTTTTTTAAAGCATTTTTTTTTATTATAAATGTTGAAAATAATTGAATTCTTTCCAGAAATTTAATTACAATTACCATTGTTTTTAATAATTTAATAATTAATAATATAAACGTACATATATGTTAAAAAATTCAATTAATTTCAAATGAATCGAAATTAAAATTTTTCAAAATTATTAATTCTAAGGAATTGTTAAATGAAATTTTTAAAATTCAAATTTTCATAGATTTTAATTTGAAATATTTTCAAAATTCAATTATATCTAAAAATTTATATTATTTATAACTACTCCAAAATTCAATATTTTTTTTTTTAGTTTTCAACTAAAATTTTTCTCTAAGTCAATTATTTTTAATAATTAAAATCAAAAAATTAAACTAATTTTATATTTTATTACTTTTGAAAATAATTGAATTTCTGCAATTATTTGTAATTTCGACAAAATTCAATTTTTTTAGTGTTTTAAACTAAAAATCTTTAGTAAATTCAGTATTTTTAAAAATTAATTAATTAACTTTATATTAAAAACATCTAAGTTCATTTAATGAAATTTAATTAAATTCATTCAAAATTGAAATTTTCTAAAATTTTAAATTGAGACCTTTTAGAATATTTAAGTAAAATTATTCATTAGATAAATAAGCAATAATTTTAGGATAGTTCTTGAAGAATTAAATTATTTAAAAATTAATTATTGCCAGAAATAGAAAAAATTGAAGGTTTTGTATTAGAATTCGTGTTAGTTTTATAGTTTATGAGTCAATAAAAAAAAACACGAAAATTCAGCATTTTCTTATGAATTCTAAAAATTTATGAATAGAATGAATAGAAAAAATTAATTATTAAAAAAAAATTTTAAAATAACTAAGAAAATAAAATTAAAAAAAAATAAAAATAATTATAAATACAAAATATATTAAAAAATACATATAAACATAAATTAATGTAAAATTCTAAATAATAATTAATAAACACAAAAAATAAATACAAATATAAATTAGTTCTCTTAATTAAATAAACAACAATTAAATTACTAAACCAATTAAAAAGACATTAAAAGAAATATTCTTTTTTTTTCATAAATTTGCATTTCTCTAAAATTTAAATAAAAAATTAATCAACGAATCACATAATAAAATCCAGAAGAAAAAAAAAGAAGAAGAGTATAAAGAATGTCTCTCTAAAATTCGAAATTTCATTAAAAATTAGTTGACGCGCTAGTGTGTCTGCTGCAGTCAATAAAATTTTAATGAGAATTAAGTGACTGGTCATTTCAATTCAACAACTTTATCTCTCATTTCCCATCAGAAAAAAAATGTGACATTTTCTTCTTGTTTTGAAACATCTTATTTTTGGCTCCTGACGAAGATATACCTTATAAGAAGTACTAAAAAATCTCTTGGAATGTAAATAAAATTTTCTCTAATGTTTCATATCTATTTTATGAAACTATTTCTTTCTTTTAAATTAAAAAAGAAGGCTTTTTAATTAATTTTATTATGGAAAAACAAACTTGAAATTATTATAATCATAAACTTCTCAACTTTCTTTCTTCTTTAAAATTAGAAATTTTCTATTATAAAAAACATATGAATATTTTTCAAGTCTATTATTTTTTAAGACTAGTATTTTTTTAAATATTGAAGTACAGAAAAATATTTCGTTCATTTGAATTAAAAAATTCAGAAAAATTTATTCTCTATGAATTTGGAATTTTCTCGAAAATAATACTTTGAGAAGTGAAAGAAATAGAAAATAGATGAAAATAAAGAAAAAGAATGAGAAATCGAAGAAAAAGAGAGAATTCAAAATGTTGATTGAACGCAACGCGCAGGTTTTACCATTTAGGAAAAAAAGAGAGAGGGAGAAAAACGTTCTCGTATTATAATAATTTACGGATGGGATTTGTGCGTCATCATCCCCTTGTTTCTTTTCCCTTCGTAGAAGAAAAAGAAAATACCCACCCAAAAGAAAGAGAGAAGGCTTATTAATGGATTAAGCCTATGACTACACCCAATGAATTATCTCTTGAGAAATATTCTCCTTTCGCATTCCGTTGAAATTCCAAGCACGATCTTCCGCCTCGCAGTCAGATCCTTATTCGTTAAATTAATCAAAAAATGAACTCGAAACAATATTTTCGAGTCCTTTTTTTAATAAAAACGAATATCACTGGATTAGGCTGGTCACTAATCAGACTCTCTCTCTCTTTATCTCTTTTCTTTCTTTTTTTCGCTCATTTTTACTTTTCTTCCTTGCCTTTTTGCTTGAAAAACATTTAATTGCGAAAAGTTTTTAAAAATAATTAAATTTTACAAAGAATTCTACTAAAATTTTTGACAATAATTGAATGACTGTGTGGTATTTTATTAAATTCTTTTGAAAATTATTGAATTCCTAAAAAGCATTTTATATTATTTTTGAAAATAAATAAAAATCTTACGAACGATTTTATTAGAATTTTTTAAACTAATTGAATATTCAAGAAGAAATTTAATACTTTTAAAAATAATTGAATTCTTGTGATGAATATTGTTATTTATGAAAATAATTGAATTTTGCAAAGAATTTTTTAAAATGCCTCAAAATAATTGAATTATTAAGAATAATTTTGAAATTCATTGACATAATTGAATTCTTTCGAAGAATTATTTCCGTAAATAATTGAATTCTTGAGAAGAATTTTATTAAAATCTAAAAGAATAACTGAATTATTTCAAAACAATTTAATTGAAAATATATTTAAAATAGATTATTTCTTTCGAAAAATTTTATTAAAATAATTAAAATTATTGAATTCCTGAGAAGAATTTTACTGTTTAAGAAAATAATTGAATTACTGCGAAAAATTTTTAAAAAGAATTGAAGTTCTGTAAAAAAATTTTGTTTTTTTTTAAATAATTGAATTTTGCAAAGATTAATTTAAAATGCCTCAAAATAATTGAATTTTCGGGAATAATTTTGTTATTTATCGACATAATTGAATTCTTTCCAAGAATTGTTTATGTAAATAATTGAATTTTTGGCAAGAATTTTATTAATAGCGAAAATTGTATTAAGAATAATTGAAATCCTGCGATAAATTTCATTATTTTTGAAAATAATTGAATTGTCGTTTAGATTTTTATTAAAATTTTCAAAAATAATTGAATTCATGAGAAGAATTTTATTATTTATGAAAGTAATTGAATTATTCTGAAAAATTTTCTTAAAATGTTTAAAAATAATTGAATCTCTGTGAAAAAATTTGTTATTTATGAAAATAATTTTAATTTGTAAAGAATTTAATTAAAATGTCTCAAAATAATTGAATTTTCAGGAACAATTTTGTTATTTATTGGCATAATTGAATTCTTTCGAAAAATTATTTATGTAAATAATTGAATTCTTGGAAAGAATTTTATTATTATTCTACATTTTTAAGAATAATTACATTTTTGGAGTAATCCCTGTAAAATTGTATTAAAAATAATTGAAATCCTGCGATTAATTATATTATTTAGGAAAATAATTTAACAATTGCTGAGAATTTTATTAAAATTTTCAAAAATAATTGAATTCCTGAGAAGAATTTTGTTATTTCTGAAATAATTGAATTTTTCCGAAAAATTTTATTAAAACGTGTAAAAAGAATTGAACTTTTGTGAAAAATTTTGGTATGTTTGACAATAATTGAATTCTTCATAAGAATTTTATAAACTTTCTTTTGAATAATAATTAGTTGTTTCGAAATATAATAAATATCATGAAAATTTTATTTTAAATAATTGAATTCTTGTGGATAATTTTATTTGTGAAAATAATTGAATTTTTCGATTAATTAATTTAAAATAGTATTAAAAATAATTAAAATTCTTCGATGAGTTTTATTATTTATGAGAATAATTGAATTCTTCTTAGAATTTTATCAAACATTTTTTCAAAAAATTGAATTTCCATGAAAAATGATATTATTTTAGTGAAAGTATTTTAATTATTCTGAAGAATTGTATAGAAATTTTGTTAAATAATTTATTTTTTTGAAATTTTTTTGAAAATGCTAGTCTAATATAATTGAATTCCTGTGGAAATTTTTATTATAATATATACGAAAATAATTGATTT